TTGTATTCCACTTTTAACCTGAAACGATTTTTTATATAAAATTGATAATATATGCGTTAGAGTTGGAATGATGTTTCAATTGGAATATAACAAACATTATATATATAAATATATATATATTTTATTTATATATAATATAATATATGTATATAAAAGCGAGAGTTTTTTTCAGATGGTGAAATAATGTATAATAAAATTGTTCTTGGCATCCATCCAGTAATAAAAAAACAGTTTTAATGAAAAATGTTTTTATTTATAGAGAACATACGTTTCGGGTCTGGATTTGACCCATCTTCAGTGCTACAATTAAATAATTCAGGGTTACAAATAAAACCAATATAAAAAATACATAATTAACAGACAAAAATAAGTAAAACAATGTATATGAAAAGTATATATGAAAAACAACATAAAATAAAACATGTAAAGAAACTCACCATACAAATAAACTTGACAAAAACACAAACACAAAATTGCACGAAAAATAAATAAAGTGAAATAAAAATTGATGAAACGTCGAGTTATGAAAAATTTTAAAAAAATTGTAAAATTAAAAGAATGATATATTTTATTATAAAAAAGTTATTCCAAACGAACATGTGGTAGTTTGGAAGTGTATTACGAGTGTGACGAGAGTAAAATGTGTGCGAACGTGTTTGTATGTGAGTTTCTTTACATGTTATTTTATGGTTGTTTTCAATATATACTTTAATATACAAAACATTGTTTTACTTAGTTTTGATGTTAATTATGTTTTTTAATTGTTTTATGTAACCCTTGAATTATATGTAGCAATGAGATGGGTCAAATCCAGACCCGAAACGTATGTTCTCGATAAATATAAAAACATTTTTCATAAAACTGTTTTTTTAATACTGGATGGATTGCCCCAAGAAACAATTTATCTATATATATATATATATATATATTATGTTTGCGCCGCACCTGTGTAGGTTGTCGGACCTGTAAAAGGTTTGTTTTTCTACTCGGACAACACGTTTCAAATTTAGGCAATCGGGCAATTCTGACTCATAAAAAGGCCGATGCAGGCAATAGTTTTGGCATTCAAATCAATTCATTCCGCGCCTTTCATTCGTTCAGTTACTTTCAGTTCCTTACAGTGTTCGAGTTGATTTATTCCGTGGTTTTCATTCATTTTGGTTTAATTCATTCATTCAGTTACTTGCAATCAATACATTCAGTTCCTTTCAGTGTTTGTTATCAGTTCAATATTATCAGTGGATTAAATTTCTATTGTGTGTCAAGTCAACAGTTATTTTTATTTGTCAGTGTATTCGAATTTCTTTTCAACTATCCAACCGACTACGCTGATGTTTCCAGATCCAACCAAATAGCTGCCGCGGCTTGGACTTCAAAACAGATAACATTTTCATACAATATTAATTAGTGTTCATTTTGTTTTTTCATTTATATAAAATTTATATAGAATATATTTTAGTTTATTATTGATTACGGAGTAAGAAGAATTTTATTTTTAATTTATATTTGTTTACCATTGGTTTTTGTTTTCTGAATACATTTAATTTTTTTATTTTTTTCCTCGAAGTATAAAATACTTCGAAAGGGGTTGAGAAACCCCCAACATCAACATTTGGTCCTTCGAGCCGGATCCTAATTATTATTAGGATTAATTGGGTGTATACAGAAAACAAAAAATATATAATGGCGCCTAAAATCGATATTGGTGCAGAAATTGCACGTCTAACCGCCAAGAGAGAGATGTACTTTTCAATTGTGCAAGAAACGTACGATCTATCGCAACAGATTGATGTATCTTCAAATAAGACACAATTTCTTGAAAATTTATATATTACTGAAAATGCTCGTGAACAATTTATTCAATTGTGCGATGAAATAAACAAATTAAAATATTTAGATAATCCTAGTTTCATTCCGGAATATTCCGCAATAAAGGCCCTTGAAACGATGTATGCCAAAATAAAACACGCTGAGAAATTATTAGATAATAAAAATGCGCATAGTTCTTCAATTAAAGACATAGTACCCAAACAACATTTACCGTCCATTGAAGTACCTAAATTCTCAGGAGATATTCAACAATGGCCATTATTTTATGAAACATTCAATTCACTAATTCATGAAAATACCGAGTTAGATAATGTTTCAAAATTTCATTTTTTAAAAGGAGCGTTACAGGGCCCGTTTTAAAAATATTTCATTCTATACTACCGACCGCAAATAATTATCAAATTCTTTGGGAAGCGCTCATAAAAAAATACCAAAATAAACGGTACTTAGCCACCAATTATTTCAAACAACTGTCATTCAAAACCATTTCATCTGGACAAATAAATTCATTCCTTGAAAAATTCGATACCGCGGTGCAAGCGCTCTCCCAATTGAATATTCCCGACGCCTATGATTTCCTTATTACGTCACTGGCATTCTCGAAACTCGATCCGTTGTTACAAGAAAAATTCGAGCATTTTTATCAAGGTGAGTTTCCAAATACCAAGACCTCCTGCATTTTCTTCAAAAGTCACAACAGGCAAAAAATCAAGTATATGGTATGACCAACAATTTCACTAATGACAAACCCAATTACAAAAACACTAAAATTAGCCGGTCATTTTTGTTAAAAAATAAATATGATAACAAATGCTTTGTGTGTCGGGAACAACACAGAGTGTTTACTTGTTCGAAATTTCTTTCATTGAGTATACCTGATAGGCGATCCCTTATTCAAAAATTAAACTTATGCGACAATTGTTTGGGTCATAAGATAACGACTACATGTCGATCGAATAAAACCTGTTTATTATGTAACGAACGACATCACTCGCTATTGCATACTGGTAGCAATTTTGCGAGTACGGATCAAAATAATCTTTCTAATTCCAAATCAGGTAGTACGGTTTTATGCGCATTTAATCAAAACAAAATCGCACATCATATTACCATATTGCCGACAGCAGTAGTAAAAGTTACTACTAGAAAAGAAAACATTTTATTACGTACAATTATTGATTCGGGAAGCGATAGAAATTTTGTGACATTAACTTGGTGCAAAAAGGCTGATTTACAAATTCTTCCAATATCAACCCAAGTGATCGGGTTAGGCAATTCGTCACATAAAGTTATTGGATTAGTTAATTTCACTTTGAAATCTTTAATTGATTCTTATCAGTTATCGGTCTGTGCATACGTAGTACACGAGATAGTGGGAAAGCAACCACAAATTACCATTCCGATTTCATCCATCAAAACATTTCTGAATTATCCTTTAGCGGATCCTAACTTTCATACACCCCAGGAGGTCGACGGAATTTTGGGTTGCGATGTTTTCGGCGAAATTCTTGGCACTAATCAGGTTAAAAATGATAAAGGATTACCTGTGGCCCTAGAAACCCGGTTGGGTTATAATATTAGGTTCCATTCCTGATTTATTTGAAAATACCGGCACTTCTACTAATTTATGTAATGTTTCAGATTCAGATTTCATTTACAAATGAATAAATTCTTACAATTAGAAGACATTCCCGAAATAATCCCCTCTTCTAACGATGATTTATGCGAAAACCATTTTACTACAACTACTACGCGATCTCCAGATGGACGATATGTAGTAGCGCTGCCTTTTAAAAGTGAAGGCAGAAATTTATACAAATCATTTCATTTAGCCTTAAAGCGATACCACATGCTTGAAAATAAATTTTTGAAATCCCGAATTTCATAAAAAATATGCCGCCGTTATAGAAGATTACCTGACTCAAAACCAATTATCCTTTGTCGATTATTGTCCGGTAGATCAGGAAGTCGATGATTTTATTAAAATAAAAAATGGATATTATATTCCACATTTCGCAGTCGAAAAAGAAAGTTCCTCTACGCCTTTACGCGTTGTGTTTGATGCATCTGCGAAAAATTCAGAATTCACTTCCTTGAACGAAATTTTGCATGTTGGTCCTAAATTACAAACCGACATTTGTTCAATCCTTCTAAATTTTCGTTTCGGGCCTATAGCATTAACAGCTGATATCAAACAAATGTATCGTAATATTTGGGTTCGTAAACAAGATAGAAAATATCAAAAAATCTTATGGAGACCGTTTCCCGATGCACCCATTGGCATCTATGAATTAAATACCGTAACTTTTGGTCTATCATCATCTCCCTTTCAAGCTATCAGAACCATCAAACAACTATCCCGAGACGAATGTTCCAAATATTCTCAATCTATTTCTAGAATTCTTGAGAACGATGTCTATATTGATGATGTGGTTACAAGTATCGACTCCTTGGATAGCGCTAAAACCATTTGCGAGGGTTTGCAGACTGTATTATCGTCTGGTGGTTTTGAATTAAAAAAGTGGGAATCTAATAATTCTAATCTGCGTAAACTTTTTTCTGATTCTGATGTACAAAATAAACATTTCTCTAAATCGGATTTTCAAATGGAATCTTCTACAAAGGTATTGGGATTAAAATGGGATCCCTTATCAGATAATTTTTCATTCGAAATAAAGCTTACGTGGAGAAAATGGACAAAGAGACAACTTCTTTCAGTAATAGCGCGAATCTGGGATCCTCTGGGTTTCCTAACTCCGATAGTTGTTAAGATAAAAATATTATTGAAAAAATTTGGACATTAAAAATCGATTGGGATGAGGAATTACCATCATTTATTATTACATCATGGTTAGCCGTATATTCCGAATTAGAGCATCTTAATAACTATCAGATTCCGCGTTATCTCGAAACATCAAAACAAAACAAATGTTCATTATTTGTTTCGCGGATAGTTCAGAGCAAGCGTATGGAGCGGTAGTTTATATTAAATCTCTTGGCAATCCGAATTTCTTGTTGATTTCAAAATCGCGTGTAACACCGATTAAAAACCAAACATTAGCCAGGCTTGAACTTTGTGCCTGTCATTTACTGTCAAAACTTCTGAATTTTATATTAACGAATAACCAACATAGTATAGATTTTGATTCTATTTACTGTTTTCCGATTCTATGATTGTCCTTCACTGGTTAGCAGGACCGGCTACTCGTTGGAAAACATTTGTAGCCAATAGGGTAACAAAAATACGGGATCTCATTCCTAATGCACAATGGCTTCACATTCCTTCTAATCAAAATGCAGCCGATTGTGTTTCTCGAGGTCTTCGACCTAAGGATTTTATCCAACATAAGAATTGGTTGTTTGGGCCGGATTGGTTGAATGGTCCTATATCAACTTGGCCTGCAAAAACGGTTGAACCTTCCGGAGATATTGATCAAGAAAGAAAAGCTAACGCTCTAATAGTAAAGAGTGTCATACCACCGATCAATCCTTTATATGAATTAACGCAAAAATTTTCTAATTGGTGCAAACTTGTAAGAATTTTCGCTTATATATTGAAGTTTTGTAAAATTATAACAAATCGAAACCGACTTTTGACTTCAGATTTGAAACAAGCCGAGGTTATTATTATTCGTTTAGTCCAAGAACATCATTTTCCCGAAGAATTCAAACTATTAACGAACGGAAAGTCTTGTTCGAAAAAGTTTTGCCGACTAAATTTGGTTTTGGATTCTAATAATTGTTTACGCGTTAAAGGTAGATTAGGATTAACAACTAATAACAATCCACTTCTTTTGCCAAAAAAAGACCAAGTAGTAAATTGTCTCATAGATTACTACCATATTAATAATTTACATACTGGATCAAACTTAGTATTATCTTTATTGAGGCAAAAATATTGGATCTTGTCGGCTCGTGCAATAATTCGTAATCGTCTTAACAAGTGTATAACTTGTTTTCGACAGAATCCGAAACCCATTTTTCCATTCATGGGCGACTTACCAGTACCGCGCATAACAGCCAGTAGAGCTTTCCTAAACGTCGGCGTTGATTATGCAGGCCCTTCAATATCTCCATGAGTCGTCACAGAGGCGCTCGAACCTACAAGGCTTATATATGCTTGTTCATCTGTTTAGCCACTAAGGCGATACATCTCGAATTAGCTTCAGATTTAACAAGCGATACATTTTTAGATTGCTTGAAACGATTCCTAGCCCGGCGTGGGTCCTATTAAATGTATTTACTCCGATTGTGGAACCAATTTTATAGGAGCCAAAAATACTCTTGATTCCTTATTCC